AGGTGACTGGGCGCTGTGGCTCTGTGTTGGTGCGTCTGATCCCTGCACCCCGAGGCACTGGAATCGTCTCAGCCCCTGTGCCTAAGAAGCTGTTGATGATGGCTGGAATTGATGACTGTTACACCTCAGCCAGGGGCTGCACAGCTACCCTGGGCAACTTTGGTACGTGTGGCCTTTGTGTCCCCTACCCCATCCTGAAAGGGGTTTATTTCAAGCTCTAGGCCTCACCCTTCTGACTCTTGTTCTCCAGCTAAGGCCACCTTTGATGCCATCTCAAAGACCTACAGCTATCTGACCCCAGATCTCTGGAAAGAGACGGTGTTCACGAAGTCTCCCTACCAGGTAGGTACTGACTGCTCTGGAGTAAGTGGCACCAAGCTTGGTGTTTACCTCACTGGGCCACCCTCTAAAGAATCACGGGTGGGTGGTGGTATTCCCAGCTAGGATTAATCCCTTGTCTGCCTGCCTTTCCAGGAATTCACAGATCATCTTGTAAAGACTCACACCAGAGTTTCCGTGCAGAGGACTCAGGCTCCAGCTGTGGCCACCACCTAGTGGATTTTCTATAACAAATAAAGTGAATTATGTTCTAGCATTTGGTCTGTTCTTTGGAAATTCATAGTAGTAGAGGGGGAGACATCAGTATTTGAAGGGTTAAAGATAAGCAGTGATCCAGGGTGGCTGAGAAAAATGGAAGAGTGGACTATTCTGGGGGAAAAAAGGTATGCTGGAAGAGTCAGTGTGCTGATGACCAAGGACTAACAGATGACAGTTTGAGCATAATAAGTTCCAAGCCACTGTTTACTGAATAAAAGGCAACCTCACTAATACAAAAAAACCACTACAAGAAGTTGTCTGTAATGGGAGAGAACTCTTTACTTGAAGGTTTGAGTATAGAAGGGGCTCAAGCAGCAGCTGCCTCCTTGGCTGCCCTCCTCTCCTCCAACATCCTCTGCTTCTGCTTGGCTAGGCACTTCCTGGCCGAGTAATGGGCTCCCAGGTCATGATCTAGGAAGGAAGACAGGAAATGACCTTGGACTTGATCTAAAACCCCAGATCCAGGTATTTAGCCCAAGGGAGGAAAACAGTATAACATTACAGTGAACAAACAATATAGAATTGTACATACCAATGCATGCATGTTATACTGGCAAATAAGGCAGTGTTGGGGGTTAGCTACTGACATTTTCAGAATTCCTGCTACGTTTGCTGCTGAACCTATGGCGGGTTGGGTGGCACTCACAGCGGTCCTGGTAGGCCTTGGCCACCTGGGCGAACTGCTCCACCTCCTTTGTGCAGTTCTGCTTGTAGCTCTCTCCCTCCCTCTGCTGGCAGGCCTTCATCCTCTCCTGGATGATGTTGACAATCTCCTGGTCCACTTTGCTAAGACAGACAAGGCAGCCTGAGGAGCGTTGCCCTGCACCCCTCAACCACACAACCCTATGGAAGAGCAAACCCTCCCTGCAGTTTCTCTAAAGACTAGTGGACTCAAACCAATGGTTTAATTGCTATGACCAATGCACCACCAGGCTTCTGTCAGCTCCTAAACCAAATCCACTGTGTCCAGCTGATTCTACATCTTGACAGTCCTGTAGGACAGAACAGAATGGGCCCAGGGAGCTTGGAAGGATGCAATCTTGATAATGATGAGGCTTTTCCTGGAGCTGGAGGCTGGGTTCAAAACTGAACCCTTACCCATCATCTCCTGCCCCACTTTGTACCTCCAGGGACAGTAAGACTTTGACCTTGGAGCCCTGTCCTCCAGGCTCCCATAGCAGCAGCAGGGCACTGACACATACTAGTCCCTCTGCCACTGCATCTCAGCTTCGAACATGCACAGGACATCCTTCTCCTCACACTCAGTGATGTCAGGCACGCGGCGGTACTGCCGATGGTAGTAGTAGTATCTGTTCTTGGCGTGCTGCCGGTCAATGAAGTCTGTGGAGAGAAAAACGGGTCCAACAGTGGGTCAGTGTGGAACAGTGGTTGCTAAAAGGCTAGCAGGCAGGCCTCCCAACCTGCTGTTAGAATGGCATGCTGGCCTCATCCTCAGCTCCTGTCCCCACAACCACCTCCGGTGGCAGGTTCTTCCCATCTACACAGGGGACCTGTCCTACAATCAGTTCAGGAATGACACAGCTGGACTGTAGATCCAATTTGGTTACCATGCTCTCTCCTCTGCAGGCCTCCCTCTCTAGGAAGATCCCACTTCCTGCACAGATTCCACTCTATAGCACCAGGGGCCTTTGTTCAGCCAATTACAATTTGTGTCTTGGCCTCCTCACTAGTCACTAGTAAGCTGAACTTAATGAAATTGTGTTCAGGCATTTAAAACAATAAGGACTTACAGAACTAAAGACCCTCAACTTGATGGACTGACAGTGACAGCAGCAATGGGCTCAAGTCTAAGATGATAAGGATGGTACAGGACAGAACAAGGTTCAGATCTGTTGTTCACTGGGGTTGCTTAAGTTGTACTCAATTCGATGGCAAAATCAACTATATATATTCCTAAGTCCGGGGACAGTATTGGCTGGTGTTTTTAAAAATATTTAATCTGAATGAAAATTTACAAATACACAATGTATTTTTATTACCATAAAAATATTTTGTTTTTATAGCTATGCATCAGAAAGCTGGACAATTGACTAGGGAGGATAGAAGGAGAATTGATGCCTAGGAGTACTGAATATACTCTGCTGGCTCCCTGATTAAAACAAGCTTGGAAGGAGGAGTGGCATCCACTTCCATAATAGCTTGCCTCCGGAAACCATATGAACCTGGAAAGAGGATGAAAGGCACCCAAGCGTCAAGGACTCTCCTTCATAGGGTCGCTGAGTTGCCTGCGACTCGACGGCACTTAACAAGAAGAGAACAAACAGGTTTGTCCTAAAGAGGGTGAAACTAGAATGCTCCTTGGAGGCAAGGATTCTGAAGCTCCATCTGACATACTTTGGACATGTTACAAGGCTGGACCAGTTCTTGGAGAGGGACGTCATGCTTGGTAGGGTGGAGGGACAGTGCAAGAGAGGAAGACTCTCAATGAGATGGACTGACTCAGTGACTGGGGTAATGGTGATAGGTGTCTCAGAGACAATAAAATTGGCACAGGACAGAACAGGGTTTAGGGCTGTTGTACATAGGGTCACTATGAGTTGCAGGCAACTTGGTGGCACATAACAACATCAACATTATAGGTGATTAACAGATGATGTTACTGTATATTGCCTTCCTCTTTCCTTTTTTTTTTTTTTAAAAAAAAAAGCGTTAAAAAGCTGACATTGCTACATGATCTGAACCTTCTGTTCTACTTATCCCAGAGCCACAGAAAGTGGTGTAAAGGCCACCATGCTATTGTGCGTTGTTCATTTTGGAGTTTTGATTTTCCCCCCAAACTTCAAAACCATTTCGCACATCAGCGTATTATTTGCATTATCTGTTCAAATGGAGGCAGCCAACATATTGTGGGGCCACAGGAGAGAGAGCTAGCAATCAGCTTCTGGAAGGCCTTGAAGCCATACGTCAGAATTGGCAACAAGCAGGAGAGACATATGAGATGGGGGGCTCAGAATCCTTGCCTTCCATACAGGAGACCTGGGTTTGATTCCCAGTCAGTGCACCTCACGGACAGTCTGTTGAGGGAGGTTTCTGTGTTGTTATGATACTGAAGAGGTTTCAGTGGAGGTTCTAAATTAAGATGGACTAGGAAGAAAGGTCTGATGATATTTAATTAAAAAAAAACCCAAAATAGCCCAGTAAACCGAGGATCCCACAAGTTTAGGACACAGAGTTTTGTTGCATGTGTCCAAGGTATGAGGAGGCAAGGGATAGAAGGGCTTTTGGGTCAGGACTGGGGTGTGTGTGCACCAACAGTGCTGCCTAAGGTAAGGGGACATGAGGAAGAATTCCAAGGACGAAAGCTCAGGGCACTGGAAACCAGCAAGTGGTGGGGTATTGGGGAGCTTGGGTTCCAGTGGGGGGCCCATACCAGACACCATGGCCCAGGGATGTCTGGGGAGGTGGGGGTTTTGGGGACAAGTGTGTCTCATGTGAGTCAAGACCTAGGGTGGATTGGGGGGGCCCATATGAGGTAACAGGGCCTGGGCATGTCCTGAGAGCAGGGTGCCAAGCCTGGGAAGTGCTAGGGAGAAAAGAGAGGGTCTACGGGAGGACAAGGGGCAGGGTCCATAAGCACAGTGTACGAGTGTGTGGTCCATGTCCGGGGATGTCAGAGAGGTGGGTGTTGCACCTAGGGGTGCAGCAAAGCAGTGTTCGTTGGGAAGCAATGAGGGGCCCACAGGGCGGAAATATCCTGGGAGTGGGGGTCCTGAGGGTGGTGGGTGTTCTGGGAAGCGAGGATCAGGGTGCAGCGAAGACGTTATGACTCGGAAATGCACGGGACAGGAGGTCTCGGAACGGCGAGACCTGGGGTAAACTGGGCGGAGGGGCGTCCATGACCCAGGCATGAGCGGAGGGGCGGCAAAGGCCGGGGTCGGGTGGGGGTTGTTCAAAGTACTGGCATATTCGGAGAGCGGGGAATCTGAGGGCGGCGCAGCCCGGAGGTTCGTACCTCTCACCAGGGTCACAGGCCGGTCCACGAGGAGGTCGAAGGCCTTTGACAGGTAGGGGATGGGGTTGAGCACCGAGGCCTGCGGCGACGGCGCCGGCGTGCGGCGCGGGGGTTCGGGGTAAACGTCCTTGTCCCAGCTGTCCGGCATAGCTCTGGCGCGCAGCTGTCCAGCCGCAAACCTCACCGTTGCGGCCTAGTTCGCCCGCAGCCAAGGACGCCGAGCCGGTCGCGTTTGCGCACTGGCCGCCGGCGGCGCGAGGCACCCTGGTACTTGTAGTTTACCTTGACTCTCAGCACGCGCGTTCCCCCGCGTGGACGTTGGCGTCATTGCATTCGCGTCCTCTTCAGCCTCTTCATGGATCCCGTAGATAGGTGCTGGGAATAAAGTAGTGACCGCAACAAGGAATGATCCTTGTGCGGTGCTTACAGACATAAGAGTTAACAGTAACACTAGGGATGCACTCATTCCTTAGGATAATCAAAACAAACAAACAAAAAAGATAGCATTTGCCTTGGGAGAACGCTCAGAAGGCTAGAAGGATGAATGGAAACCGCAATCAAAGGCAGGAAACGGGACGTGTGCTATTACAATGCATTGTTGTTTTTGTTGTATCCCGTAGAGTCAGAACTGACCCTCCACAGGTTTTCAGAGGTAGTAAATCACACGGGAGGAGAGTGCCATCCCACAGAACAGCTGGGATTGCAGCGCAGCTTCTTCCCACTAGGCCATCAAAACCCCCTGTTACAGTGGGAGTACTGTATTTAATGTCATGAAACAAAATCTGTATGAATGATTGAATGGAAGACTCATTTACTCTGTCACTATTCAAAGCACAATAAAAAAGTTAAAGGAGGGGGAAGAGAAGAAACTATTCCAAGTAGTTCTTGTAAACTGCATCAAGGAACCAAAGAGTCTCACCCTTAGGCCAATTGGCAGCATCATGATAGATGGAGAAGAGATTGAGGTTGTTAACAATTTCAGCTTACTTGGTTTCACAATTAACACCCGTGGCAGAAAATCAAAAGACAAATTACATTGGGAAAAATCTGCTGTCAGGGGACTCCCTAGAGTGCTAAAGAGCAACAGTGTCAGTCTAGAGACTAAGGTGTAACTGATTCAGTCCATGGTCTTCAGAATTACTTGCTACTCATTAGAAAGCTGAACATGACTAAGGATGACAGAAGAATTGATGCCTTCTGCTGTAGAAGAGTATTGAACCTTTGGCAGACCATGAACTGCCAAAAGAACAAAGAATCTGTCCTGTCCTGGAGAGGGTGAAGTCAAATTGCACCCTGGATGCAAGGATTTTAGGGCTCTGTCTCACATACTTTGGTCATGTTTATACAAGAGACCAGTCCTTGGAGAAAGACATCATGCTTGGAAGGGTGGAGGGACAGTGCAAGAGAGGGAGACTCAGGATGAGATAGATTGACACAGTAACTGATAATGGGGGTAGGCGTGTTGAAGACAGTGAGACTGGCTCAGGATAGGGCAGAGTTCAGAGCGATTGTACATTAGGGTCACTATGAGTCTCAGTCAACTTGACAGCACGTAATAACAATATCAACATGTGCCAGGTATATCGAACCTGGTAGCATGGAATACCAAAAGAATAAACAAACCTGTCTGGGAGGAAGTGCAGCCAAAGTGCTCCTTAGCAGTCAGGATGGTAAGACTTGATCGCATGCACTTTGGACAAGTTAACTGGAATGGCCAATCCCTCGAGAAGGACATCCTGCTTGGGAAAGTAGACGGACAGCATAAAAGAGGACATACCAACAAGGACTCTTCTGGCAGTTCTCTGCTGACGTACTGTTCCAGTCATTTTTTTTATAATCTTCAGTAGAATCTTGCTTGCATGTGAAATTAATGATATTGTTCTGTAGTTTCCACACTCAATTGGGTCACCCTTCTTTGGAATGGGAACAAATATAGATCTCTTCCAATCAGTTGGCCAAGTGGTTGTTCTCCAGATTTCTTGGCACAGCTTGGTGAGCACATCCAGGGCA